TTTTTTTTTAAAAAAAAAAAGTATAATTAACCAATAAGTTTAATGGATAATGTTTGTTTTCCTAATCTTTTCTAATTCAATCTGAACCTGTTTTTAATCCCTAATAAACACAAATTAGTAGGATTATACGAGTTTCAAAACATGGCTAGTATGGGATGTGCATACATGTCCTAAGAAAGAAATAGAAAAAAGACCACAAAACTATGATGCGTAAGCTGATATATCCTAGCCTTTCTTTACAACCACCTAAATCATGCCTGGCACACCTTTACGGCCTATAATTTCTAACAAATCCACTAGAATAATATTAAAGCCATTTAAACGTGAAGCTATATTTGACCGGCATCTCACCGACCATAAAAATAAAAACTAATATTAATTGAGCAATGGATTTGCCTTATCCAACAGCAAATACCATCATTGAAGGATTTAAGACCTCTAACTACAAGGGCCAGCTCTCCCCGCTCTGAATGGCTATAAATCCTTTCCGATACTGATAAGCAACAAATCCAAATCCAAATCAAGCTGGATCCCTTTATGAGGAAACAAACAAACAAAAAAAAAAAAAAAAAAAAAAAAAAAAAAAAAAAAAAAAAACAGGAGATATCTGTAAATCACTTGGCAAGCCTGTTTCCGCATGCACTGTTACTCATTTGTTGAAGAAAAACGTGGGCATGGCCATTGGAAGATATCAGAAAGGATCTCAAATGAGAAAATAACTAAACTACGCTATCAATGGGCGTTTGCACGCAAGGATTTGGGCATAAAAACAGTGAAGCAAGATTATTTTGAATGGTCAGTTGAGCTTTGTAGAGAAAAAAAAAAACCAGTGGATATGGCGACTTGACCTCCAAAAATATAAATGGAAATATATTGTTTCTTATACAAGAAATAAAGAAATATTGCCTATGGTTTGGGAAACAATCTGGAGTGGTGTTCATACAGAAATCTACCGAATAAACAGGAAAAGCAATTGGTCTAAGGAGGATATTCTTACTTCTATTTGAAATTTATTGATTATCATCTACCTGGCATACGGCACTCATGTATGGGGTTAATTCACAATAGTGCTTCTATTCATACAAGATATCGTTAAAAATTGGCTGGATGAGAATGGTATTCTCATTTACTGGGCCGTACTCACCCGGCTGGAACCCTATTGAGCCTGACTGGGCTAAACATAAGAAGCGTATCCATATTCATTCTCCAGATCATAAATTTTTCAACAGGACTAAAAATAAAAAAATTTCAAAATTGAAAGGGTACCTTTATAAAATTAATTAGATTCATGGGAGAGTTTAGGCGATGAATGTTTTGGTCCGTTGATAAAATGTGTGGAAAGCCGTGTTAATCCAGGTTTAAAGTACAAGAGATGGCGTACATAAATAGATGGAAAATCAGTTTATTGTTCTTACATCCAATGGTTACAAATAAATTATATAACAAAATGACATACAAAGAAGACATGTGATTTTAAAGGCGTTTGTCTCTATGAGACTGTCAAGGTAGCGGTATCAGCGCACGTTATAATTGAGACGGTCGATGGCGCCGAAATTTCCATGATATTTCCATGTGTAGCTTGGCTGGATAGATAGATAATCAGTATTATCCTTACATTAAATAGTTTCATACAAAATTACAAAACAAAATGACATACAAAGAAGACATGAAATTTCAAAAACATTTGTCCGTATGAGACTGGTAAGGTACCAATATCTGCGTGCGCTATGAGCTCAGACGTTCAATGGTGCCGAAATTTCCATGATATTTCCATAAATATCTCCATGTGCTAAGGAAAACCTGAGATACATAACACTTAGTAGATTAACACCAAAGATTGACACTCTGTAAAATATTAACAAGCTGCTTTATCAATCAAACCATTAGCAAAGAAGCTGCGATGATGAATCTAAAAACCTGACTATCGCTTCAAGGCCCTTTGTAGTATCAAGAAAAATCTTGAAATCAAGTTCCGGGTGACGTACATGATATTAATTTGAAATAAAGTGCGTATTATTGTTTATCTGCCATTCAGCTATCTCATATAATTAAACACCTGATAAAAAAATTAATATCTGATCGTTTTCATATTATAATACTCCTAGTTGACTATAAGCTTTTGTAGACTTTTCCTTAGGGAGTATATGTATATAGTTGAGGGTCCTTAAACTTGACAGAAACTGATTTGATTTTACATTAGTTGGAAATAAAAATCAAGTTAAATCGACATTACTCTTTCTGAGGTTAATTTTGGATAACCATCTTGAACAGCAAAAAAAATCCCTTCTGTCGATATGTTTTAATTTCATTGAAAACTTGAGTCTTCTTACCCAAAGCTTGGTTCAACGTATTTGAATCCATCCCTTGCGGGAAAAAAACTAAATAAAAACACTGCTTTGAGAAAAAAGTAAAAATTCTCGAAAACAAATTAATGACTTTCAAATTATCAAAACAACTGGGAATTTTATTCATTCTTCTCTTTTGCACATTGTTATTATCGTAAATTTCAAAGCTTTTGTAGAGATGTTGCTGGTTTATATCATCACAATGAAGGTGTACTAAATTGTTGTTTTTTTGCTCAAATTATGGAGCCTTAGGAGAACCTAAGAGGAAAAGATTGGTGTTAGTTTTTTTTTAGAAGAAATTTTTTTTTAAAAAAAAAAACAAAAAAAAAAACAAAAAAATAAAAAAACAATAAAGAAAAATATAATTAAAGCCAAAAATCCATGTCTTCTTTGTATATTGTTTTTTTTTTTTTATAAATATCATTTTATTTCATAAACACGTTTGTAACTGTTTCGTGTTAGACCAATAAACAGACCATTTATCTATCAAGCAAAAGCCCGTATCAAGTTCCAAGCTGTTTTATCATAATTGGTCGTGAATAAAAAAGAATTTGAGAATTTCTGCTAATTTCACCCGAAGAGCTATAAAGCCAGGGAGATAGATACTCAGTGTATTGTCCTGACACGAAACAGTTACAAACGTGTTTATGAGACAAAATGATATACAAAGAAAACATGAATTTCAACTCATTTTCTCTATAAAACTCGTAGGATATTGGTGTCAATGTGTTTTATTATTTTAAGGGTTTGGTGGCCCTGAATTTTCCATGAATGATTCCATGCTTCAAGGGGAATCTGCGGTACATGATACCCAGTAGATCGATACCAGAAGTTTTATATTCATCAAAACTCTAACGAGATGCTCTAATCAAGCAAACCATTAGCAGAAAAGTTGTAGTAATAAATCCAAGAACTTGACAACCTCCCCACGGCCCTTCTTGGTACCAATAATAATCTTTGGATCAAGCTCCGGGGAAAGTTTTTTCAACAAATCTCCCTCTATAGGATGAAAAGAACATTTACAATAATGATTTTTCTTGCTGATTATAAAGCCTGGGTACGAAATAGTTGAATTTCTTTTACCAAGGCAAGAAAAAACCAAAAATGCCGTTAGAAAAACTGGACATGTTGCTTAGAGCTTGCAATTACTTTTATTAAAATTACTAAACCTGCTTTTCCTTTCTCCAAAGTGTCTTTTGTAAAAATTGAAATCAACCCAAGCAACAGTTTGTGCAGCCGCCCAAGTTCAAGTAAAGAGCCCACGTCGATTAGTGCTCTCTGATCGACTCTGTCTACAACTGAAATTCCAAAATATCATTAAAATTTTTTTATTAGGTGCACTCATTTATTTCCGATTGGTATTTAAATAATTGCACTTAGAAAGCCTTGTCAACTTAAAATCATATGTAATAGTGTTGTTATGGCAGAAACCTGATTGGCTTAATAGCGGATAATTTCCATAAATCATTGGACGTGAAATGGTTTTTTTTGACAACATTATGAATAGGCTGCCATTTTGAAAGTTGGGTTATAGAGACCATCTCACCAAGCAATACAAAAACAGCAAAAAAAAAACAAAAACAAAGCCTACTAATATCTTTTATTTGCTTAATTTTCAAGGTTAAAATCAACAATTCATTCTATGTATAAACGAAATTCAATTGAGTTAAACTTGCTAGTGTACAGATAACGCTAGGTCTAATTGCCAATGAATATGATATGTGCGTGTCAGTGCCAGACACGACCTAGGCGTTCATCATTATAGCAGAAAAATAATAAATATACAGGGACCAAAGAATCAAAAAAAGGTCCAGTCAGTGGCGCCTCTAGCCATGCCACCCAAGGAGTATCCTATGCTTTCCTCCTCCAGGTCAAAGAAAAAGAAAACCAGGAGAGCTTACACCTGGCCTTTGAACGCCTTCTCAACAAACTTGCAGTCACGGGGTTCGGGGTCGTTGTCCGCCGGCCTTGAAATGCACACATAGTTCTTGCCACCGGGCAAAACGCACTTGATCTCAGAACTGGGGAACTTGCACGGGCAGTCAACGGGTCGCTTGACACATGCAAGCGTATCTTCGCAAATGTATCCATTGCAATTGTAGTTATCGTAGGTTTCTTCGAACCAAGACCCATCAGCCTTGGGCTGATTCGGCTGCTGTTGCTGGCGCTGTTGCTGGAAAAGGTTGTCAAAGATGTTGCCAAACTGAGCAAGCACCTGAGAAGCACTAAACGCAAGTAACAGTAAAACTAATGCTAATGGTGATTTAATCATTGTCGTTTGATTTTTTTGGAGGTATACACGTATATGAGTTAAGGTATGATCCGGTTACACTGGCGAGAAAGAGAGAGATGTTGGATCAAATGTGAGCTCAGTGGGATGGAAAACGTTGGAAAAATAGAAAAGGAGCCTGTGGGTTTGTGAACAGTTGGCAACTTTTGAAGTCACGTGATGTTCGATAGCTAACTACTTGGTCATGATTTTCTCAAAATACATGAGATAATGAAATAAAAAAATGAAAAATAAATACAACCATTATAACTAAGGCATTTTAATTACGATTTAGCTAAATATGAATTCAAAAAAAAAGATTTTATGTGAAAACTTTTTTGTAATATTTGCTGGAATATATTTTGTTCATTTTTTGACAATAAGAAGCCTCTTTAGCTTAGTGGTAGAGCGTTGCACTCGTATATCGACATGCAAAGGTCACCGGTTCAACTCCGGTAGGAGGCACTTTCTTTTTGACAATTTTTTCTAAAAAGTAAACAAAGACTACATTTATACTTGATATTGAAATCTCATAGTAAAAAGAGCTTCCTCTAAGCAATTGTAGTACTTGAAGACTGTTCATTCATTTTTCAATTTTATTATTATTGAGAGACAGGCCAGTTGGTGCTAATTCCTACCAATCCCATCCTCATCAATTGCTGAAGTTGAATTGCGCTTGAACATTTGGAGCAGCTTTCCTAAAAAAACAAATAGAAATTCACCTGGGATACTGTCTGCCAGTCTTTTAGAACCCTTTGAACGGCATCAAGGACATAAATTGCGCGTCGGTTTAAACGGGCGCCCACCATAACGTGGTCGGTGCCTTGGCGTAGTAACCGTTAATAAGCGGCGTCTATTGTTTTTGTGGTTGTGTGCAACTGCCGTATGGAATGGCACTGATCTGATACCAAACATATAAAACTGTTAAATTTTCTCGTTCTTTCTTTCTTCCTTTCTTGCACTTTCTTTCTTTTTTATCTACAATTTATATTTCTTACCATCCATCATGTCTGACGAAACCATTAACAACTTCTTTTCCAAGTATGCTCTTGTTTACCCTTTCATGTCTCTTTTCATCCGCTAACGTTCTTCTAGGGTCGACTCTTTGAAGTCCAACTTTATCACTCGTATGTCACATTAGCCCCGCTCAGCGTAGCATCATCATATTAACCACCTGCCAGGTCTTGCTGAGGCTGTCGCTATCCCCTCTGTCTCTGCTGATGCTGAGCACCGCCCTGAGGTTGTCAAGGTATGATATAAATCGGCACTGTTTCTACGCAATTGTTTACTGTAAACTTTGTTTTATCCACTTTTTGTGGCGTTTTGCCATTACAATCTCACCGCTAACATGAAAAATCACCCACAGATGGCTCACTGGCTTGTCAAGGAATTGACTGACCTTGGTGCCACTGATATTGAGCTCAAGGAGCTTGGTATTCAGGAGGACACTAAGGACCTTCAGCTTCCTCCCATTGTCGTTGCCAGATACGGCAATGACCCCGCCAAGAAGAACATTCTTATTTACGGCCACTACGACGTTCAGCCCGCCCAGCTTGAGGATGGCTGGAACACTGATCCCTTCACTCTTGTCGAGAAGGACGATGCTCTCTACGGCCGTGGTGCTACCGACGACAAGGGCCCCGTCATCTGCTGGCTTAACATCCTGCAGGCTCATAACGAGCTCAAGCTCGACATCCCCGTCAACCTCGTCTTCTGCTTTGAGGGTATGGAGGAGTCCGGCTCTCTTGGCTTGGAAGGCCTCATTGAGAAGGAAAAGGATGCCTACTTTAAGGGCGTTGATGCCGTTTGCATTTCCGACAACTACTGGTTAGGTACCAAGCACCCCGTTCTTACTTACGGTGTTAGAGGCTGCAACTACTACTCCATTACCATCGAGGGCCCCGCTGCTGACCTGCACTCTGGTCTCTTTGGTGGTGTCGTGCACGAGCCTATGATTGATCTTTCTCATCTGTTTGCTAAGCTCGTCTCCCCTAGTGGCGAGATTCTCATTCCCGGCATTCAAGAGATGGTAGCCACTCTGACCCCCGAGGAGGATGCTCTTTACGACAACATTAACTTTGATCTTGAGGGCTTTGAGGGCAACATTGGTTCCAAGACCATTATTCACGACAATGTCAAGTCTGCTCTGCAGGCCCGCTGGAGATACCCCTCTCTGTCGATCCACGGTGTTGAAGGTGCTTTCTACAGCCCCGGTGCCAAGACTGTCATTCCTGCCAAGGTCATCGGTAAGTTCTCCATCAGAACTGTGCCCGATATCGAGTCCGCCAAGCTGGATCAGATTGTTATCAAGTACATTGAAGAAGAGTTTGCCAAGTTGGGCTCCAAGAACAAGCTTAAGGCTGAGTTAATTCACGATGGTAACTACTGGGTGTCCAACCCCCATAACTGGAGTTTCCGTGCTGCTGCCAGAGCCACCAAGAAGGTGTGGGGCGTCGACCCCGACTACACTCGCGAGGGTGGTTCGATTCCCATCACCCTGAGCTTCCAGGATATTCTCAAGACCAGTGTTATTCTCCTGCCCGTTGGCCGTGGTGATGACGGTGCTCACTCGACCAACGAGAAGATCAACGTGCCCAACTACATTGAGGGCACCAAGACCCTTGGTTCTTACCTCCACTACCTTGCTGAGGAGGAGAAGGACGCGTAAATGTAGCGGGCTATTCTCGTCAGGGGTGATATTTATGATATATACAACGCAATTTTGCTCAAATTTAACGGGCATCAATAAATAAATGAAACAAAAAACAACAACAAAAAAAACTAATATGAAAGGAGTAGCTAGGGTAGATGGATGATATGGAACCCGCGTGGGGCCAATAATATTATAATTAGTAAATTTTTTTTTACACTTTGTCGAGTTGCAGCTTTTCATTTTGGTTGCCGAGACGCGAAATGCGTAAAAATACATCGACACCATAGCCCTCAAGCGAATGAAGATCCAAATGGCCATCCCAGTAATCCGCATAAATGCGGGAAAGGGGCAGGCCCATGCCCAGCTTGAGATCCGGGGGCCGCGAGCTCAGTGATGCCAGGGACGACAGTCCCGAGCTATTTCCCGTGGCGGCGGTGGGGGCCTGGTGCAGGAACTGCTCAAACCCACGGAAGTCGGTCGTCTCGCTCGTAATATGGTTGCCGCTGCCGCTGACAGGGGACGAGATTTCCTCCGAGATGCCCGCGTAGGTCGGCACCTGCTTGAAGTTATCAAGCCGGTACTGTGACCGGGGCCCCTTGGAAAAGCTCCAAATATGCGGTAAAATATCGCTAGGGATACCACCGCCTTGGTCCGAAATTCGAATTAGTATGGTTTTAGCCGTGTTGGATATTGAGACCAAGATGGGTGGCGGCGGGGAGTCGGCTGCTCCTTTGGTCTTTTCGTGGTGACGTACGGTGGCTTCAATTGAATTGCGCAGAATCTCGCCGAGGATGTAGTCAAGGTGCGACTTCATGTATAAAAAGTTGGTGTCTGTGAGTCCCTCAATGATGATCTCAGGCATGCGGGCGTCGGGATACAGCTGCTGGATGAGCATCGAGGCCTGAACTGCACTGGCTTCGACGGCCTCCTTGGCGTTGCAGCGTAGAAATACGGCACCGATATAATTTGGATCGTCCTTGCTGCTGCCGTCATTGTATGTGCCGTTTTTATAGTTTGCTGTCAGTGAAAGGTGTTGCTCAGCAATCACGCGGCGCGAAATGCGCGAGCACAGGATTGACGACATGAACTTGTCAAGCTTGTCAGAATCGATTGACTGGTACATTGAGCACTCAATGGCACCAATAACGAGGTTGGGGATGATTGAGAGGTGCTCGTTTAGCAACTTGTTGAGAAGCAAGCAAAACCGATCATTATCCTCCAGGGTACGAATCCGCGGGAACTTGCGAAACTGATTAAACGCATTATAGTACATTTCATAAACCCGGCAAAGATGCGCATTACTCACGACCCCAAACGGCAGTTCTTGCATCTCGCGGATCCGGTGGGCTAGCCGCGTGGGCAGCTCCTGCTGGACAAAATCGCCCGACGAGACTAACTTTTCCGCTGTTAGTTTGCGCCCAAAAAACGCCAGCTGACGGAGGGACACAGGCCGCGGCTTTCGTTTTTGCACCCAGTCTAGTAGCACTGTGTTTTGGTAGAAATGGCGGCTGTTGATGAGTTTTGACCCCGGCGGGTAGGTTTTGGATTTTAACGTGGTTGCAAATGAGCCGGGTTCGGCGTGATGCGCAAAATCGCTGCTATAATGCCGGTTTCGCTGGGGATGCGCTAACGCGGTGGTGATGCTGCGACATCGCAGAGGTACAGAGTGAAGTTTAAGTCGGTTCATTTATGGCTATTATGTGAGGAAAGCGGATAAAAAGTCCATGCGATCCTGGTTTACAAAAGAAGTGTGAATATATATTAAAAAAAAAAGAGAGAGAGAGATGGAGGATTAAATCAATTTATTTGTAAACTGATAAAGATGACAAAAAGAGGATGAATGGGGAGGAGTCATTATTTCCTACGTCCAGCCAGCCAAAGATGAAAATTTCTAAACCTTAAATGCAATATGAGTCTAAAGCCTTACATTATAAGACAACAGCCTTGAACCCCCTGAAACTTGAGATAGCAGTCGTGGTTTGCTAAAAAAAAAGTTACAAATGATGAAGAAAATACTAGACGGCGCTGAAGACATCATAGGCTGGAAGCCGACCCCGTAGACTAGAAATGGTGGTTTCCAACACGCCAATCTGGAGCAGGATCTCGGGGTGTGACACGCGCATCTGCCGGGTAAGGCTGTCGGCCTTGAGCTCAAGTGCCCGCACCAGCGCTGTCGCCGTCTCGGTGTCAAGCGTGCTCACATTGTGTAGGCAGTGGTTCATGTAATGTATCCGGTAAAGCACCGGTGTTTGTGCACTGACGCCATCTTTATCATCCTGTTCACTGGGTTGACTAAAGATGGTGTCAATGGAGGGCAAAAGTACCTTTTTCACAATTATGTTGATATCCCGTAAACACGTCTCGCGCGTAACTTCTGCTAGCGGCGTTGCAGCCAGGTGAGGGTCGGACCACGACTCCACTAAAAACCGCAAGGCCAAGCAGATTTTCAAAAGTTTGGCGCGATCGTTGTTGACACAACTCAGCACGTTAAGGATCCGGTTGCGCAGCTCGTAGTTTTGCGCTGGAATGACTGTGCCAAGTAGCTCACTCAGCGCCAGCCACGACTGACTGCCCTTGTCGTTATTCCACTCATCAGCAGGAATCGATTCTAACAGCCGGCTGATCTGGGAACCAAAGAAGAGCATGGGCGCTGCCTGTTTCGAAAATGGAGTCCGCGAAACCGATAAAAATGAAGCATCAATTGAAGCAAGCACCACGGCAACAAGAGTTGAATTGACTAAATTAGGCGCTGCTTTTACACCGATTACAATTTTCACAGCAACATCAATCATCAGCTCAATAGCCGTAGCCT